AGTTTGCAACACATAAAACCCCGTATCAAACGGACATCCGAGTAAAAATTTATGAGGGTTTTACTAGGGACTGCCAGGGTAGAATCCGGGTCGGAACCGGGTCGGGTAAAGAAATATGGTATGTCGGCTATTTAACGTTTTTAGCCATGGAAACAGTTCATTTCAGTTCCAAAACCAGAGAGAAAGCTTAAGAGAAGGTTTCTATGGAGTCCTAGCATAATGAAGGTTAGTTTTGACGATTTCTACCATTAAACATTGCCCCCGTGCCTAGAAACGTAATCCCTACACGTGGCAATCGTTTTTCCCTTCTATTTGCTGCGTTTGGAGCTAGTTTTTGAAGATATAAATTTGTAATTATTGGTGTTTCTTCAAGGTTTTAACTTGGTTAACTAAGGTAATTATCTCGGGACTCTTTTATGATTGTTTTTATGAATTTCTACGGACGTTTCGACAAGTTGGGGCAATACGGCAAATCTGCCGATATAAGATTAATTATAAATTGTTTATAGGTGCGTACTATCTATGTATATATTGTGTTTGCGAAGCTTAGGACATAAGGAACAACTTTCGTGAAGGAACTACGGTCTTTTGAGCGTTCATTGGAAAGGTATGTTAAGGTTATTCCATTAGTTCGACATGTTTCCTTAGATGAAGTTAACGTTGGTGATCTTGTAGATGTAATTATGAATGGTTGGCTGATTGGGTGGTTATAACCCCTCATTTTAGGGACTCACAATCTGTTAAGAAAGACCCTAAGTTAAGAACGACTTGGAGATTATTCATATATATATTGTTTATAGCTAAATTGCTCGCCTTCAGCCTAGTTAATTATTTGTTGTTGCCCTTGGGGCTATTGTGGTTAGCTGTTGAGCTATGAACTGCCTATGGGGCTATGATGTTGTCTAATAGGACTATATTGTGCCTAGAAGGGCTATGAGTTGCCTACAGGGCTATATTGACGCCTAAGAAGGCTATGTGCTTCCTACAGGGCCATGTTATTGCCTAAGAGGGCTATGAATTGTCTATAAGCTACGTTGATGCCTAAGAGAGCTATGTGCTGCCTACGGGGCTATATTAATG